GAGAGAGAGAGAGAGAAAGACGAGATCTAATATGTGTAAAAGAAAGGAGAGCGCGGAAACAAAAAATTTCGTCGCGGCGGAAGTGTCACGATCGTCGCCGTAAAACTGCATGTTTTAAAGCGATGAAACAACACCAGTTATTCAACGTTGCGTCGCAACCTCGGTCTCATAAAATAGAACTTTATTCTTTATTATATTCATTTCATTTATTTATCTCTGTCGCTACTTTTGTGCTTGCATTAATTTACTTTCGTTACTCCTATAACAGTATTTTTCTTTATTGATCTCTCCCTCTCTCTCACTCCTCGTTTCTCTTTCAGTAGTAATCCGCAAATAACGAGCTCGTGGTTCCCGCGCATTCGTCAGCGTTTCGCCCTTCATTTCCGACACACCCTCGTCCGATCAATCGCGCTGTGTGCTGTTACAGAGACGAACGATGCTCCACGAACGAAGAATGTAGACGAGACAAGGGGAGGGCAAGCGGATCTGCCTGTCGCGGATTCGGAGGAGGACATCACCGCCGTCTGAAGTCTAATCGCCTCGAACCGCGTCGAGTATCTTCCTCGCGTCTTCCTCGCTGTAAGTATTGTAAAAAAAAAGATAGTTAAAAGTAGCAAACACGAAGAGACACGACGAGGAAAGAGAGTGGACATGGTGGCAAACCGAGAGAGAGAGAGAGCCAGCGAATTCAATTTTGAGATAGATACGAGCGATGGATATCTTGAAGTAATTTAAAAGAAGCTATCTCCAGCATTTTTTATTTTTGTATTATTTCTATTGGAAAATAATTATTTAATAAATTAGATATATATATATATATATATACTTAGATTGCTTTAGATAATTAGATGTATAATTAGATGTGTAATTAGTATGCGCATTCCATTTCTAACGTATTATTATTTAACAATGTTTAATCGTATTTTTCTTTGAAAACCAAAAGATATCGCTTACAAGTGTAATGGACTATAAATTGGGGACAGAATAAAAATAGAAAGCTAATTGTTTTCTCAGACAACGCTAAATAGAGTCTGATAAAATTATTTTGACGGATGATAAAAATTGAAGAACGATAAACATCTACGTCATTCTCACTGAAGAAAAGTCAACTTTACATTGAGAGAAAAAAAATTGTTAGAGGATGACGCGCGTAAGAGATAAGTCATCTTTTTCTCTCTCTGAATAAATAAAATAAAACCAGCTATATACGAGGCTGCCAAGACTAATTGGCGAGCGACTACCGATTAGAATAATTAACAATCGAGGAAAAACGTCGCCATTAGAGAAACTATGTGTGATTCATGCTATTCGTGAGATTCAAAATTTGCAATTTACCATTTATGTATTACGAAACTGTTCGGAATAGAATCCGAAACTACAAATAACTACAATTTCGATCTCAATCCACTTCGAACAGTCCCTTAATACGTATCCGTAGGTGAATGATTCGCGAATAGTCTGAATGTGCAGGTTCGTCGGAACAGTCGTCCATTTTAGTCGTTCGTAAATAATTCGCTGGAAAGCGGCTTTCCCTTTTTCCGACGAGATCAAGGGACGAATCGTCAGACCCGGGCGAGTCGCGGTTGCCCCCGAGACGAGAGGAAAATTTGACGCGTCGTCGTCCCGAGGGTGGGCGAGACGCGGCTCTCTCGGCGAGCAAGAGCACATTCGGCTCGGCGAGCCGAGTCCGATTCCCGCCCGATCGATCTACGCGTTTCCAGTCCACGGCGGCTGGCTGTGGATCACGTACCCTACCTATATCGTTACACGCGATAACGTATAATGCTGCCGCAGTGCCAAGGGAAGTAACTAGTTCGCTTCGCTGGCTCTAATGCGGCGTCGGGCCTCGCGCTGTCACTCCCGTCATCGTCGCCCGTCATCGTTGTCAGTGCTTCTCGTCCAGGCGGGGCGCGTCTCGTCGCAATCCGCGCGCGCGCGTCATTATTGCGACGCGGTATCGCGAGTAATAATCCCTTCGCGGGCACCTTCGCGGCCACGCGATTGAATAACTAATCATAAGTATCGATAAGCCGAACGGGACGCCGATAGAGGGTAGAGAGGAAAAAAAGAGAGGGAGAGGGAAAGGGAGAAAAAGTGTCGCGCGGCGAGTATTAAAGTCCCGGTGAGTTCCCTGAAAAGAGAGATTCTAATTCGCGATTTGTCGACTCGCTTTCGTTCTCACTTCTCTTGTTTTTTTTCTTTGTCTTTGCCTCTCTCTCTCTCTCTCTCTCTCTCGTACGGTTT